GGTTCCATTGTGCTATCTGCTCTGGCTTTGACTACTTGGACTTCAGTGTGATTTTGCAATTTGGATTTCTGTGCTTCGTCCATATTCATGTTCCTTGCACGACCTCTCAATACAAAGTACAAAATAGCATAGCGGAAGACTTAGATACCAATGATCCGAACAATCAATATTGCAATGCAGCCCTGAACATACATCATCATCATCGTTCCATAGTGTGAAAGGGGTCTGGCTCTTCACACAGGAAGACTGCGCCAGCCCCAACCATACACAGACGAAGAAGAAGGGGGTTAGACGAAGAAGAGGGGGAGATGGGAATGTCGTCTACACCAAGTCTTCGGCACAGGCCCAAATAGTCCCTCGTCAAAATGTCTGAATACCAAATGTCGAGTTTGGATCCAATGTCGTCAAGTCTCAAGTCACAACTCTCTTTCTCTCTCTCTGTCGTAGTCTGCTGATACTGAGAAGTCAGGTGGTGAGAGGGTGAAGAAGAGATGGTGGACTTAGAAGAGGAAGAAGAACAACTCTCTCTCTCTCTCTGTGTCCAGTACTAACCTGTGAAGTTGGCGCCTTGATGCAGGTACCTCGAAGATGGAGTTGGAGCTATGGCGCCACAGGTAAGTACCGCTGGCCTCCGCCAGCCATCTCTCTCCAACGCTACCACTACCAGCTACTAGCGCCATGCGCTGAAGACTACTGCTACAGCTATGAGCGCCCAGCGCTGAAGACTACTGCTACATCTATGAGCGCCCAGCGCTGAAGACTACTGCTAGCACTAACTACTACTGCCAGCGCTCCTCCTGAGTGCTGCCGCTGAATCCTGAAGGCAACCCCTGCCTACTGTCCAACTACCTACCCGTGAAGTGCATGGGAACTTCCTATGTACTACTCGGGTACCTCCTGGCTGCAGGGCGAGCCAGTCCAGGAGGTTGCTCTTGTCAATGCCGAAGGCAGTCAGGGGCTGCCGCTGCAGCTCCTGCTCGAGGCTGTCGTGGGGAACAGGCCAGAAATAGCCTGTTCCCAAAACCCTGTTTTTGTGCCTGAGTCTTAGGGTAGGTCGATCTTATGAGGGCCCGAAAGTGGCCCTCCGTTTCAGGCTGAAAAGCCCTGTTTTAGGCCCTCGTTTTTCAGTCTTTCAGGCTGAAACGACAGGGGCCTGTAAGCCCTTATTTCTACGCTTTTAGGCTGGAAATGCGGGACGGGCCCTGCAGGCCCGTGTGGCTACACAGTATGCCACACCCCCCCCTCCTTGAAAGACCGAGCTTACCTGCGAGGGCGAAGCTGTCTGTCTGAGGGAAGGACCACATTCCGGGTGGGAGGGGCAGGTTGTGAAGGTCCCTGAGCTAACCTTTGTCGCTCGTAGTGAGCGTAGATCAGCGGTGCGGACGCTTTCAAATCTGTTCCTGAAATCCATCGAGTGTCGTCGGGATCGCATGCTCTGAATGTAACTTTGTACTCGTGAGGCTTGTTGCCGTACTTGCGATCCGTGATGACGCGGTCAACTTCCTGATGACCATCCATAGATGGAGGGTCCTGCGATCGTCGGCCCGGGAAGTCGTCGCTCTTAGCTGGTGTATATGTTGCCAGCTTCGAGGCGTGAAAGACTGGATAGACTGTCAGATGCGCGGGGATGTTGATCACAAATGAAGGGACATCGGGCTCATCGCTCGCGGCTGCTGTTACGGACCATGGTCCAAACCACTTGGGAAGTAGTTTGCGTGAAACGTCCTGTTCCAGTGCAAACTCTTCCGTGGAGACCCAAACCAGATCACCGGCGCGGATGGGACATGGCACGCGATGCCTATTGGCTTGCTGCTGCATGCGGACTTGAGCCTTTTGCATATTCGCGCGGGCTTGAGCCAGCAATTCCCTGTACTTCCGGACGTAAGCGGGAGAGCAAGCGGCGTCGATGTCGGCTGGTCGTGGGAGGAGAAGGTCGGCGAAGATGCGGCCTTTCCGTCCACCGTGGCGCAACTCGAATGGAGTCACGCCGATCGTCGGGTGCACCGAAATGTTGTAGGCGAACTCGATGTCGGGGAGGCGGTCAACCCAATCTTTCTGGTCCGGACGGCTGATCGTACAAAACATCATTTGAGCGGTTTGATGCGCCCGCTCCCGTCTGCCCGTCCGTCTGTGGATGTCGAGCCGAACTTGGTTTCATCTTCGTGTCGGATTCCTACATGAGAGCAGTCCAAAATGCCGACATGAAGCGAGTGTCGCGTTCGCTGACTATGTCTTCCGATACACCCTGGCCACAAATCCAACCGGTGTGCAAGAGGCGTGCCAGCTCGGGAGCCGTGGAGTAGTACTTGCAAGGGAGAAAACGCGCATACTTACTCAAACGGTCCACAACCGTGAGGATGCCGTCGTGCCTGAGGCGATCGCGAGGAAATGGTCCGGTGACATCCATGGCAATGGAGAGGCCGGGTTCCCGTGGGATAGGCATCGGGAGCAACTCGCCGTAGGGGTTGCGATTGTGGGGCTTGCTTCGTCGGCAAACTTCGGAAGAGTCGCAATACCGAGTGACATCGGTAAAGAGGTCGAGCCATCGGAATCGTTGTCGAAGCCGTGAAATGGTGCGGTTGACTCCGAAATGGCCGGCGAGTCGCGAGTCATGATACTCACCGAGAAGGCGAGTCCGAAGACGACGGTCTCGTGGGACACACAATAAGTCCTTGCCTCTCGAGTGGAGGAGCAAGTACCCATCGGCAACGTGATAGTGGCTAGCTGGCGGGTGATCCGAAGATAGTTGCGCATACAACGTGGCGAAGTCCGGATCCGACTCATATCCCCGGATGAAGTGTCGCTGAAGTTCCTCGTCGAATGCGAAGGAATGATGTGTCATAGCGCAAAGATCAGGTCTTCGCGAGAGTGCATCTGCTGCGCGATTGGAGAGGCCGGGAAGATGTTTCGGTGTGAAGTCAAATTGGTCGATGAAGTACATCCATCGTCCGATCGTGTTGCTCACCGTATCCTGCGTCTTGTAGTAAGTCAGTGGGTTGTTGTTCGTAACCCATGTGAACCTACAACGCCCAAGGAGGAAGTGCCGCCATCGCTTGAGAGCCATGACGAATGCGAGCAGCTCCTTCTTCCTTGCATCATCAAGCGAGTTGATGGGAGGCACTTTGTGGCTGAAAAACTCCACAGGGTGCCAGTCGTCGCCGTCGTGTTGTTCCAAGATTGCCCCAATGCCATAGCCGGAAGCGTCAGTTGTCACTCTCGTAGGCAGGGTGGGGTCATAGATGCTAAGGACGGGTGCCATGAGCATGGTCGTCTTAAGTGCTTGGAATGACCGGCGTGCATCTTCATCGAATACGAATGGCAGCAATCCTAGAGTATCCGGTGATCAATCGCTGATAGTAACCCGCCAACCCCATGAATGAACGAACGTCTGTGGTGTTGGTGGGCTCGGGCCATACGCGGAGGGCCTCAATCTTGTCCGCGAGCGGACGGATGCCTTGCGGCGTCACATAATGTCCCAAGTACTCCAGCTCCTGCTGCGCGAATTTGCATTTGTCGCGGTTGGCTTTGTACTTGGCTTGTCGTAGCCGCTCCAAAACGGTGCGCAGGTGTTCCACATGCTCGTCCAAACTCCAGCTGTACACCAGGATGTCGTCAAGGTAGATAAGTACGAATCGATCCAGCATGTGTCGGAACTCCGTTGTCATAGCCGCTTGGAAAGTGGTCGGGGCATTCATAAGGCCAAATGGCATAACGAGCCATTCGAAATGCCCATATCGCGTCTTAAACGCGGTCTTGTAGCGATCCTCCTTCCGAATCTCGAGTTCGTGATATCTCGACTTGAGGTCCAGCTTGGAGAAGAACTTGGCGCGGCCCAGTCGTTCGAGAAGGTCATCGATGCGTGGGAGAGGGCCGGCGTTTTTGATCGTTCGTGCGTTGAGTTTGCGATAATAGATGCACAACCGCAAATCCTTGTTCTTCTTCCAGACGAAGAGAACAGGAGCACCGTATGGCGATGAGCTAGGCCGAATCCAGACTTTCTCCAGAAGGTCGTCGAGTTGTGTCCAAAGCACACTTAACTCTTCCTCGCTCATTCGGTAGATGCAACCGCGCGGAGGTACGGCCCTGTCCTCGAGGATGATCTCGTGGCGGATGGGCCGATCCGGTACTACTCCGTGCGGGCCTTCGAACACCTCGCCGTAGGCGTCGATCAGCTCGGTGATGCGTGGATCCGAAGATGGGTCTGTCGATGAAGCGTCATGGGGCGGGAGGGCGTGGAGAAAACACACCCCCATCTCCTCGATGTCGTCTCTGATGATGGAAGCTCGCATGCTTGCGGCGGACACCACGTGACAGCTGATTGAAGGGTGAGGAGGAGCTACCGTGCATGGGACTAGTACTCCGTTCCGATCACGAACGTGAACGGTGCGGCGGGGTAAGTTCACCGGGTGATCCTCGCTTCGCAGCCATGACATGGCCAAGATCATATCGAATTTGGTGTCCAAAATATCGAAGGACACCGCCTCGCTCGCGTGCGGGGCAAAGTACGCGGGGACGTCATCAATGCACCGGTCTATTGACTTGTGCGTGTGACCGTCCGCCAACGTGACTTGCGTCGGCTGGGACTTCCTCCGGACGCGTGGGCCAAGGTCGGCGCGTACCATAAAGTCTTGGCTCATGTAGTTGCGAGATACTCCGCAATCGATCAAAGCGTTGCAGGTCGCTTCTCCGAACTAAATGCGTACATATAGCAATGGTGCGTCGATGTCGTCGTACCGTTGCGTCTTGAACTCGCGGTCGATCTTCGCAATGCAGGCGTGAAGGTCGACAACCTCTACTCCGGCGTCCATCAAAGGAGTTGGTACTGCAGTGTGCAAGTAATCCCGCAATTGTGCCATGAGCACGTTGCAATGCGGTTTCGGCAATCGACCGGACCGGGGAAGGGGCATCCATTGGAAGTCCGCAAAAGTCAACGGGTCGAGCTCTTCAAGTCTTGACCATGACGTTGAATCCCCGGCGGTAGATGGCGGCGAAGCTGCCGAATCGGTTGCCGATGGTGATGAAACCGTGCATGCGGTAGATTGTTGCACGTGGAGCGGTTGGTCCAACGGTGGGACCAAGTGGACAGCATAGTCCTCGTAAGCATACCGAGAACTTACGACATTCGCATCCTCCCCAGATGTGTAGGAGGCCGCTAGCAAGGCGGCCGAATCTGGCGGAGTGAGAGGTGGAGTCGCCTCACCTCCCGCGCAACTCAGTTTCCCGAGTTGATACGAGGCCGAACATCCTCCTTGCCCTGATCCTGGCAGAGGGAGGTCTTGTGCTTGGTGCTGCTGTTGCACCAATAGCAGCAGCCGTAGCGGCCGCGCCACTTGTATTCCGCCTCGGTCAAGTGAAACTTGACCCATGGTGCTGGCTGTCCGTTTCCGGCCGGCGATGCGGTTTTCGCCTTCCCGTTTCCTCGGGACTTCTTGTTGCTTCGCGGTTGGACAGCAGCCACCTGATCTCCCTCAAGTGACGCTTGGGTGGCTGCCGGGTCTTCCACAATGTTGTCCGATTGGACTGCAGCGAACTGCTGCGGTCGCGGACCAGTTTTCACCTTCTCCACATAGGTTGGCTGCCACGCTGACTTCTCATGTGCAGCCGCCCTGTTGGTCTTGATGATCTCCCTCGCCTTCTCAATGATCTCAGCGAAGGTTGCATACTGCTCGTGATCACCAAGAGCAAGGCTCGATGCAGCGCATGACCTGTTGTAGAACTCACGGCACAGATGCGTAAATGGCAGGTCGAGATCGGGCGTTGCCGCGATCTTCTGCCATTCCGTGAGCCAGTCACGTGTTGCTGTGTTGCCTTGTGTCATGCTGAAGAGACGGTTGATGGCGAGTGCAGGTGCGTCGTCCACGATGAACCACTTCTTCCACAGCCGTGTTAACTCTTCCCATGAGATCTTGTCTTTCAGATCTGCGATGTCGACGCCGTGGGTGGCTGCCAGGTGGGTTAACCAGATCTGGCACCCGCCCTTTGAGTTAAGAAACAGGGCGCCGATGTACGCGTGCTTGGCGACTAACAGAATCCGAAGTTGCGTCGTAAAGCCTTCCCACCAGAGGACCGGGGTTTGATGCGTGTAGTCATCGAACTTCTAAATTTGGAAAGTTGGCATCTTGTAATGCTGTGTGCTATTGCCATTCTTGTTAGGCAACTGCAGTTGTTGGACCTCGGTCTTCAAGGTATCCAGCTGATTGTTCATGGTGGTCGGCTCAACAAAGGTGCTGATGTCGCCGAGCATTGCGACGACGTGGTCGACGCGTTCCGCCAGTTGGCGTTTAGAGGGTGCACTGCTGGACACACCAGCATCTGGTCCTGGTGCAGCTTGCTCCAAGTCCAGTACATGGGAATTGAGTGCCCGTGTAGCATCCTCGTGGCTCTGCACTGTCCGGCGGAGGTTCGCCAACTCCTGGTGCTGTTTTTTTAGGTCCTGGTACTGTTGCTGCAGTTCCTGGTTCTGCTTCTCTAACTCGGACTGTTGGTAGTTACAAGTGTAGACCAACCGTGTCACGAGTTTGGAGAAGAACTCCTTGTGCTGCTCCTCCGGTGTTGCGTCGCCGTGCCCCTCGGATGGTTCAAAGTGCCAATACTTAGAGTCTTTCGATGATGGCGGCTTCATGCCGCTGCAGCAGATTTTGGGCCTCCTTGCAGCATGCCTGGGTATCTGCGTCTACTTCGGCCTGTAGCCGCAGCTTCTCAGTTGTTGCCGCTGCTTTAACCTGTAGGCGGGCAGCCTCGGCTGCCAGCTGGTGCTGTTCCTCAACCTCGATTAGTGCGAGCTGAGTCTGGAACCGCTGTTTGTAGTCGGCAATAGACTCGTTGGCCAGTTGGCCTGGCATGCCCAGAGTTGCGCCCGTCATGGTGGCGGGGCACTGCTGACGTGGCACTGTTAACGTGGCACTGCTGATGTGGCACTGTTGCTGACGTGGCACTGTTGCTGATGTGGCACTGCTGACATGGCACTGCTGACGTGGCACTGTTGCTGACGTGGCACTGTTGCTGACGTGGCACTGTACCAACCCGGAAATGCATGCAAAGGGGTGGGTGGGAGGGAAAACGTAGGTAGGAAACCAACCCAACAATACTTTCCTCCGGCCCTAATCAACAAATAAAAAATAAAAAAATAAAAAATAAAAAAAGGACTACTTCCTTTTTTTTTTTTAATATCTGTTGATCTGTTATGAGTGAGACATGTCAGAAGAGTACTATGAACGAGATCTAGGCTAGGTTCCGCAAAGTTTCAGCTTTCACAAAATGCGATCTTGGAAAAAAAAAATTTGCGAAATGGAGTAAAAGATGCGATTTTCAAAAAGAACGAAATCCAGTTTCTGAGAATATGGCAACCTCCGAATATGCCTAACGAAATGTTGGTAGGCTTCGCAAGATTTCGGTTTTCAAAAAAAATTTGCGAGATAGAATGGAAATTCGATTTTCAAAAAAGAATAATTTCGGTTTCCGAGAATATGACCACTTCTATCGTTATCCCAATATGCCTAGAAAACGAACACTAACATCAGAAATTTTCAGCTATGTATGCGAAATATCAGAGAAACGAAATGCTACTATCAGGAATTTTCAGACAAAACGAAATGCGATATATCAAAAATTTTCAGATATTTGTTACGTAAAAACGAAATACCAATATCAGAAATTTTCAGGTAAAACGAAATGCGAATATCAGGAATTTTCAGATAGTAGTTGCGAGAAAAAAAAATTCAGAGATTTCACGAAGTCCTTCTTGATTTACTGATGAGTAATCAATAGATCAAGCAAGCTGGCTACTTGATTGAGCGGGTCCTCTGAATGAGAGGTCCGCTCCGATACCAAACTGTTGCATACTGTAACGGTGCAGACCAGAACAAGAACCGACTGTGAGGAATGAGCCCTCAGAAGGGGGCCTTGCCGACATGCATATGTTMTGGGCTAAGGMCCCAGCAAGCCTCGTGCCCGCCGTAAGTGAAGGCGGGCCAGACCTGTGACCGCCCTAAGTGAAGGCTGGTCAGAATATCCACGTACAGGCCTTTCTTTCAACATTTTTGTAAAGTGGGTATCCGACAGTTGCAGCACGC